CTTCTGGGACTCTCCATTCACTCTAAATCTGATTATGATTCACTTCTGATTCACTTCTGGGACTCCCCATTCACTCTAAATCTGATTCTGATTAACTTCTGGGACTCTCCATTCACTCTAAATCTGATTCGGATTCACTTCTGTTCACTTCTGGGACTCTCCATTCACTCTAAATCTGATTCCGATTCATGTCTGATTCACTTCTGGGACTCTCCATTCACTTTAACTCTGATTCTAAATCACTTCTGATTCACTTCTGGGACTCTTGATTCATTCCAACTCTTCTGATTCAGATCTGATTCACTTCGGGGACTCTCCATTCATTCTAAATCTGTTTCTGATTCACTTCAGATTCACTTCTGGTATGTCCATTCACTCTTACTCTAATTCTGATTCTGATTCGGATCTGATTCACTTCTGGTGCACTCCATTCACTCCAAATCTACCGCTGTACTCTCTTCAACTCTCTCTGACCGAATTCACTTTACCTTCTGGTCATGGTTTTCTTTTCTCAGAGTAGTTTGACTTCTGTCTAATGTGGTCAGTGCTTCTGCTTGATTCAGCTCTATTTGGTCTTTATATTTAGCCAGGCTCAGTTCTGCTCTGTAATCATTCTCTCTTATTCTTCTGGAAGGAAGGAAGGAAGGAAGGAACCTTCTGGTGATAGGGTCAGGGTCGAGTCCATCCGAATAGATTCAGTTCAGTTGTGTTTGAGAAACTCATGGACATGTTTGACCACTGACTCTTGTGACTAATAGAACACACACACACACACACACACACACACACACACACACACACACACACACTGAAAACATCACTTGAAAAATAGATTTAGATTGAAAATTGTTTGTGTGTGTGTTGGTTTATTCATGTGTGTGTGTGTGTGTGTAACAGGTCTGACATCAGAGGGCATCTACCGTAAGAGTGGTGTGAACAGTAAGATCGCCGCTCTGCTGGAGGAGCTGCGCAGAGACGCGCGGTGTGTGTGGCTGAAGGAGGGAGAGCATCAGGTGGATGACGTCTCCAACGTCCTCAAGCGCTTCTTCAGGGACGTGCAGGAGGGTGTGTTCGGCCTGGAGGCGCACCGCTGGCTCTCTGCTACAGGTGTGTGTGTGTGTGTGTTATACTCTCACTGCAGTATCAGGCTGGGAGTAAATCACTGTAACACTTTATATGAAGCTTGTGTTTATATTGATTTGTGTGTGTGTGTGTGTGTGTGTGTGTGTGTGTGTGTGTGTGTGTGTGTGTAGGTGTCTCAGACGAGAGCAGTCGTATCTGTCAGTATCGTCTCCTCTTCAGTAATCTTCCACGAGTGAATCAGGCGACACTACGAGCGCTAGTCAATCATTTATACTGGTGAGAGCTGCACACTTCCTGTTTCACACACAGCACTTCCTGCTGCCTCTCCTTTCACACAAGTGTTGAATGTCTCTCTGATGTGTGTGTGGGTGTGTCTGTGTGGGTATCGTGTGTCTTTCTGTGTGTGTATGTGTGTCTGTCTGTCTTACTGTGACTGTGTGTGCGTGTGCGTGTGCGTGTGTGTGTGCAGTGTTCAGCGGTTTGCGGATCTGAATCAGATGAATCTTCATAATCTGGCCATCGTGTTTGGGCCGACGCTCTTCCAGGCGGACGGGAAGGATTACAGCGCCGGCCGGGTCATCGAGGACCTTATCCAACACTACGTCACCATATTCAACGTACGCTTACTATTATTATTATTATTATTATTATTATTATTATGTTATTATTGTTATTATTATGTTATTATTGTTGTTATTATTATTATTATAATGTTATTATTGTTATTATT